TCGCCATCAAGACAACCGCAGCCTGGTCTTGCCAAGAGCAGAGAGCCATGCCTAATTTTACTAGGCCTAAAATAGTAGTCTCTTCGGTTTCATAAACAGCATTATTTCACCTTCCCATCTGTTGGCTGAAAAGTCACTCTTCACCAAACACCTGCTGAGCACCTGCTGGACTAGACACGATGGACCAAACAGGACCAAGAGGGTCTATGGGATGTCTTTGTACGTCCCACTCAGTATTCCTCTGAACCTAAAACTGCCCTAAGAAATAAAGTCTTTTTTTTTTTTTTAAAATAAGGATGGAGACTCACCCCTGGCCCACAGGAGTGGACCTCTGGCAGGGAAGACAGACAGACAAACGATGCCACACAGGTGTAGGTGGCACAGGGAGGGCGAGGCTCGCCTCCGTCAGCTGTCTTATTCAACTGCCTGAGGAGGGGTGGGAGCAGGGTTTAGACCCACCTGCTGCACCATCACCACTCGACAGCCACAGCCAGGTGCCTCTGGGCAGCATTCGTCTGGCTTCTACAGCCAGAGGCTGTGGAGAGCAATTCCAAGTTAATATGCACTCACCTGAGGACACCTTTACAGAGCCCCAGGTACCTGCCTCATGGCCGCACTGAAAAAGGTTGAGCTCTCGCTCTTTCCACCTCTCCAAGGCAGGTGTGGGCCCCAGCTCTGTCCTAGACTGAGGAGGGGCCAGGCTGGTCTGAGACTCAGTGTTCAAGAGGCCACTGGCCTATATCTAAGAGAGCATGAAACGACAAAGCAGGGCTGGCACTGGAGTGTCTGTGAGGCTGGATGCCCTCCCTACTTTCCCAGACAGCCTTCCCATCCCAGCTCTGAGTCACCGCCTCTCTAGCGCCCTCTCTGATTTTCCTAGACACGGTTTCAGGCTCCCCTCTGTGCACTTGTGCACATTGTGTGGGCATTTCCACTTCCCAAGTCTGCCCCCTGGACCAGACCTCCTCCAGCCCTCCTACCTCTAGCACAGACCTAGCCCAGTCAGATTCTGAACTCAAGTCTGCAAAACTTCAGAGTAGAACCATCACATTTCAGTATCTCTTAGTAACTTGCTTGACAGCTTCCCAAGAAAGTCTATGGAATCGACTGTCTCTTCCAGGAAGAAAGAAAAGGCTTTTGCTTTTTCCCTTTGGGAAGGGCTAGTCTAGGCAGCCCCAGGAGGTACAGTGGAGAGAAAGTCCGTGACGTGACCCAGGAAATGTCTCGTCCCTTTGGACATGGGGGACAAGATTTCTGGCCCCCAGGGAAAAGCCAGAGTGAGACAACCAAGGAGAAGGGGAGTCCAGATGGGCCAGGACAGAGACTGCTTGTCCTCTCAGGCATGAGGGTTGACGGACATGTGCAGATCCTAAATGAGGGGCACCTGGAGGTCAAGAGCGTTGCAAAATCACCCAGCTTCCATGCATTTGCTGTTCCTGATGGAAGGGTGTGTGTAGGGGGAGAGTTGACCCAAACTGTAGTAGCAAAACTTGAGCTTTGCATCCAATCACAGCACTTTTCTTAAAAATAAATGCAAACGCAAACCATGGGCCCACAGTTCATCACAGGGATCCAGGTTATCTCCCTGATGTTTTAAACTTAAACTTATTACTCCTGTGAGTAATCCTGCCTTGTGCCAGTAGCACTCACTAACACAAATATATTTCCTATTACCTGTTGGTGTAATGTTTTTTTCAGGGTGAGCAGAGTATTACAATATATCTAAAACTTATGTTTTCCTACTCGAGTCCTCTTCTTCCTCACTGGTCTCACTTCGGACTTTTGCCTGAGGGGCCCAGAAATCTTGTTGCCCACGTCCAAAGGGACAGGAAAATCTGAGTGAAGTGTTTTTGTATGGCCCATGAGCTAAGGATGGTTTTTACATTTTAAAGAGCTGTAAACAAACAAAAGAACAAAAAATAACGCAACAGAGACCTTATATGGCCTGCAAAGTCTAAAATATTAGCCCTTTACAAAAACGTTTGCCAATCCTTGATACACCATCTTGAATTTACACAAACAAAATAACATGCTTTCTGCTACAAAATCACTTAAATTCACTTAGCATATGTCTGATGGAAAGTGCTTAATTATTTTTATTCTGAAAAATTTTTCTCATAAAAATGGGATGCATTAACAAGTCTGTGCATCCTACAGTCCACACAATACTTTGATTCTCATTTGCTTGCCTTCAGTCATGCTAAATAAATCCATCATCATGGTCTTAGATTTCGTGTGTGTGTGCGCGTCTGCGTGTACCTAATCTGGGTGAAACTTCCACAATTATGTGAGGATCCTGGTGCCCACTGTGGGCAAGGCGAAGTGAGCAGAGGTCCTTAGAGAACACTGTCCTAGATGGACTTGACTCTGGCTGTGAGTAGGATGAGTTACGTAATCAAAGTGTACACAACGTTAATTCACTGAGCGTACTCTCCATCCCTAACCACTCCTCAGTTCAAAGGAGAAAACCAGGCTCCAATAAGTGAGAGAATATGACTCTCTTATAAAATGTACTGAGCCTTGTGAGCAGCCAGATCAATAGATAAAAATGCAGAGCACGTCCCTAATAAAGTAACAGACTGAGATGAGCCAGCAGGTGTTTCGTCGGGATTTCGAGACTGTGCTTTGCCAGGAATCTTACTCCTGTAAGATCTTTTCAACTGCAGATGACCAAACCCTTCTCAAACTGGCTGGACCAACTACTCAACATAATTCAGGAACTATTGAATAATTGTTGTGAACTAATTATTTGAACGTTTCACTCTGATAAAGCAAAATAAGAGCTGTGAGTGGGGGGCTTAAAATTTGCAAATGATATTTTATACCTAAGAAATCTTACAAACTAATAAGAGAAATTAGTAATATGGCTAGATACAAGATAAATGTACAAAAGCAAAGCTATACTTGACCAATAACCAGTCCAAAATAGAAATGAAAAAATGCCCTCTTCACAAGACTTTCAAAAATAATAAAATGCCTAGGAACAAATTTTAATAAGAAAAATACAAGACATATAAAGTAAAACGCAAAATTTCATTGATAGACATAAAACAAGATCTGAATAAACGAAGAATACTATATCTTGAATAGGAAAAGTTAATAGCAAAAAGATGTCATTCTTTCTCAAATTAATAAAAATATTTTATGTAATATTAACACAGCCCTAATGGTTTATTTTTGTTTTTTGGAACTAGATAAAACAACATTCAGTTTTGTGAAGGAGAATAACTTATGAGAATCACTGAGAAAATTTAGAAGAAAGAACAGTGAGTATGGGGCTCGCCCAAACAGGTATTAAAACTTACTACAAAACTACTATAATCAAAATATGGTAATGGCCCAGGAATACATAAATAAATCAGTGGAAGAAAACTTAGAGTTCAAAAGCAGATGCAGATAAATTTGAAAATTTGAAATAAGATAAAGATGCATTTCAATTCTATGGATGAACAGTAGATTTTTTATTAAATGATGTTGAGACAATGGACTATCCTTTTAGAAAGATAATAAAGTTAGATCTTTACATCGTATAAAGTTCTCATTGTAAGTAATAAAACTATTGATTGGAGGAATTAAAACATTGACATAATATGGAAAAAATATTTATATATCTTAGGCTTGGAAAGACCTAAACAAGTTGAAGTGCAGAAACCATTAAAGAAAAAGTTAACCAGTTTGACTACGAACACGAAAATCCTGAATGACAAAAGATGAACAATAGCCAAGGAAAACTATTTACAACACACATGGAAGGCTAAGTGTTAATATTCCCAATACTCAAGAGACTTATAGTAATTAGCTAAAAAGAGATAGCCATATAAAAAATGATTGAAGAATGTGAATACATAATTCACAAAAGAGGAAATGAAAATGGCCAATATATCTATGAAATAGGACATGAAAATTGAAGCAGCTATGTAAAATATTTAGCCAAAACATTTAAAAGTTTGACAACATCTGGGGCTGGAGAGGACATGGAGAAGCTAAACGTCTCATATACTGTTGACCAAAGTGTCAGGTGGTTGAATATTTTGAAAGCAATTCATCAAATTTATTAAAATATGATATGTGCATACCATTTGACCCAGTAACCCTCCGCCTAAGGACTCTCGCCTACTGAGATAAGAGCAAGAATATGAAATGTAGGAGTAAAGAAATTACTTAAGGGCCGGCCCCGTGGCGTAGCGGTTAAGTGCTCGCGCTCTGCTGCTGGCGGCCCGGGATCGGATCCCAGGCGCACACTGATGCACGGCTTGTCAGGCCATGCTGTGGCGGCGTCGCATATAAAGTGGAGGAAGATGGACACAGATGTTAGCGTGGGGCCAGTCTTCCTCAGCAAAAAGAGGAAGAGTGGCATGGATGTTAGCTCAGGGCTGATCTTCCTCACACACAAAAAAAGAATGTCTAGTACAGTCTTGCCTATAAAAGAAAAAAGTGGAAAAACCTTAAACATCTATCACTATTAGTTATTGAATAAACTACGGTACATCCAAAGTAAAGCATTTTATGCAACTATGAGAAAGAATGTGACAGATTTGTATGAAGTGACTGTCAAGATGTCCAGAATTTATTAGCAAGTGAAAAAAGCAAGCTAAAGAACAATATGTCCAGTCTGCTACTAGATGTCATTTTAACAAAATGCATGTGAGAATTTACATTGGATATATGCATCTATATAAAATAATTTCAGAAAAATTGGGAAAGATGCATACAAAACTGCTAAGAGCATTTTCCTGGAGGCTGTGGCATCGAATTAACAAAAACGGAAGTTTCATTTCTTACTGTGTTTTTCAGTATTTTTCCAAAGACAGTAATGAAAATGCAGCCTGGAAATTAGATACAATTATATCAATTGTATACACCTGCATATCAAAGAGAGCAGCTTTATAAAATTTGATAACAATTAAATGAATTGGTGCAAAATAATTCCTTAAACTAGAAAGAAATTACAAATGCGACGAATCTCAATGACAAATCACACTATGGTAAGGAATCTCTTTTTAGGTCCAGAGCCAGCTTGTTCTTAATATGCTAAAGGAACGGTGACTCACCTTTGACAGTGGCTTTCCCTGATGGCAGTTGATGCCGCCGATGAAGATCATGTTAGGCATCACAGGTTTGGGATAGTCCAAAACAAAGTCAGTTCGTAACAGCCAAATTGACGTATGGCTGAAGAGATCATATGCCGTGACAGTCTTTTGGAGAAGCTCAGAGGCAAATTCTAAAACATTTTTGATGAAATAGTGGCAAAGTAAATGTTCCTCCAAGTGGAAGATTTGATTCCACACTCTCTCCCTGAAAGTCATGGCATCCGGGAACCCTAAGAGCATTCTAGGGACATAAGAAGGAGGACTGGGACACTGCGTAGCTTCTTCAAGATGGTGGCAAAATACTCCCCTAGTGAAGACCACTGATGGGAGGGAAAAATATTTGGCTACAATTAAGCCACACATATCAAATGGATCTAGAAACACTGCATCAAAAGAATTCTCTTCTAGGTATTTTACTAGTTTTGTGTTGTTAAACAAACTCCTACAATGTGAAAGAAAGTATTCAAAAAAACTGTCGCTGGATACACTCATCATCATAGAAATGAGACTTTGTTCCCGAGCTTTCCATTGAGCCTCGGCGAAAATCCTGAACTGCTGATTCAAGTCCTCCAGGGTGTAAAATGTGGAATAAGTCTTTACAGTAAAATTGAACGATTTTCCCAGGTGCCAACTCACCTCTGGCATGACTACGACCACCTCGTGCCCTCTGTGGACGAGTTTCTCCACAACCGAATGCATGGTAAACCAGTGGCTCCCATCCATGGGTACCACCAGTAGCTTGCCTGCCTCGGCAAAGCCAGGTGTCAGCAGGAGACACACACATAGAGGAAGGAAGCCAGTCAACATTGCAGGAGCCATCAGTTGGATAACTGCAGCCCAGAGCAATCCAGCTGCTTGTGTTCTAGGCTCGTGTAATACAGCCAGCAGAAGAAGTACAGGCACAAAACCTGCCCTGAGAGAGGGTGTGTATTCATACATTCATTACAGAAAAAAAAAATTATACTCCTTGCCTATGATTTACTCATAACAACAATAATGAATGAGTAGCATTTGCTGAGACACCTATTTGTTCGAGTTGCAGATAAGAAGAGCTTTTGACCTTTGCCTTGGGCACAGATCATGCAGTGTTATGGCAGTGCCAGTTTAGAAAGAATTATTAGGCAAAGGTTTTGGACCCTGAGGCCTCAGAAGGATAAAAAGGAACGTAAATGTCAATAAAGCTGGTATTTTTGCAATTTGTCTGAAAGGAAAATTTGGCTTTCATCCTGAATACCAAAGACTCTTTGCCCAGAAAAAGATTGGCATCGCAGGTTCCAAAGACTTGAAGCCCCTCACCAGTGACCTCTTCACTGGCACTGGAACTGAGGTTCACAAGGGTCTCTGAGATGCCTGGCTTTCCTGCTGGTCTTGTTCCATCTCCAAACTCTCAGAGCCTCCAAAATGCTGAGATAAGATTGACAAGTCCACCTACATGGCCCACTCTAGGGATGTGATGGAATGTGACTGTCATCTGTTTTAAATCACTTTCCCTACATATGACCCACGTAGTGGGTGGTCCCCTGCCCAGAAGCACTCTGCTGGGACTCCTCTCTTTTCTCTCTGTTTCCACATTCCTTTGTCTAGACCTCTGCTGTGGTCTCCCCAAATTGGCCTGGTGTCCTCCTTCAGGAACCTCTGTATCTGTCTGCTACGCTCTACCATGCACTCCTTGAGGTCAGGGGACATATCTTCTTCATGTTTGCACCCTCTTCCCACAGTACCCATGCTCTGCCTGGCACGGAGAAAGCACACAAGGAATGTTTGCTGCATTAGACTGAATCACTATTGCTGTTCTCAATCTCTCAAACCTTTAGCTGAAGTCAAAATGATTTTCTCCCTGTCTGCCTCATTCACTCCTGGATGGAGGCTGGGTTGGACAGAGGAGATGCCAGAGGTAGAGCCTAAATAGGCTATTGAAAAAATCCACTAAAGGTCCCCAAGTGGGCAGGAGAGGATAATTTCGAGGTAGCTTTAGTGTACTCTTCTGTATGCTACTTACAGTTGGTGGGGACGAACTAAACATTGAGGATGTTGTAAGGTTCAGGGTTATGTGGGACATTTTTCACAAGGTTTGCACAGGAGATACATTTGGAAAATGTCTTTGAAATTGCATGGCAAACTTGAAGCCCTACACAAACGTTTCCCACATTTAAGCAACTTGGGAATTAGCCATGCCAAAACACAAGTGATCTTTGTATGGATTGTGAACAGCAATAAATACAAACCTAGGAAATATGGCCGGCCCGGTGGCATAGTGGTTAAATTTGCGCCCTCCACTTCAGCCACGCAGGGTTCGCAAGTTCGGATCCGGGTGCAAAGTTAACGCTGCTCATCAAGACATGCTGTGGCGGCATCCCACATACCATAAATAGAGATACATGGGCACAAATGTTAGCTCAGGGCCAATCTTCCTCACCAAAACATTAAAAGTGAATAAAATAGTGCATGAATGAGTGAGTGGTTGGCTGCCCCACGGAAACCACGAATCCCCCAGCCCATGGGCAAGCGAGCACTGCCCTCGCACGGTGACGCACGAACTCTCCGCGCCAAAGAACTACATTGCCCACAAGGCCGCGCGCGACGAGCCGGCGCTCCCGCGGGGCACCCTGGGAGGGGTAGTCCCCCCGACCGTACATCCCTTACGGTCAGTGCCCGGGGACCCGCCTTCGCCAATATGGTGGTCTCCGGTTCGGGCGCGATGGTTTCCTTCGAGATTGGGCCGGGGCGGGGGTCTGGGCTTTAGGCAGTAAGTGGGGCTGGCGCCCGGGATGCGGGGGGGACGTGGGAGGCGTCGGGGCCGAGCGGGCGGCACGGCCTGAGGAGGGCGAGGTGAGCGCTGCCCGGGCCGCCCCGGGAGGCGCGTTTCCCGGCGTCCGCTCAGTGGTCCCGGCCGCGGGGACCCTGCGCCCTGACGCCCCGCGGCCCCGTGGGGGCTTGGGGGTCTTGAGGGCCTGGCGTCGGCGGTGCAGTGGGGGAGACAGGACTCCAGACCGCGAGCGCGAGGCCAGGCTCGCAAGCTCCGTTTTGCGTGCTTGTCTCCCGAGGAACGGGTTGGAAAGGAAACGCGCTGCATTCCGTCCCTGAGGAGCTGCGTTAGGCGCTCTGCATTTCTGTCTCCAAGTGACCCTCC